ACTGCACACTGGACTAGATACTACAACTCGGCATACTAAACCGCAATATTATATACGAGAATATAAGACCACTGGACTAGGTTATGCTATACACAAGTACACAATTCAACCGACGATTGAGAAACTGATTCTAGAGATGGAATAATTTATTCACTCAAAGTACAAGTGGTCCACATATAGTGAACCTAGAACTGAAATCCCGAGTCAGTTACAATACATAAATAGTGATTGGTATTACAGATTATGTAATGGACGTCTATCCATCTGTACTCAAAGACCAATCACGGGTTACTGTAGCATTGGTTTATTGAAAAAGAACTAAATATCCGTGTTTCCTGAGGTAGAATTTTTTACCCAATTATTGAATTATCGAGATTCCTTGACAGAATATGTGATATAATTATCTGTTAACCTCTACTTCGCTGGAAAATGAATAAATCTTTACATGACTCCTTATCCAATAAAAATTATCTGAAGAATGATGGAAAGAAATTTTCTAATACAACAATTGACTGTTACTTAGTTACAACTAATGACATATAATAACACCAAGATAGTGAGTAGGCATAGTAACTGTGACATCAGATTAATTCTTTCTCAAGTTGTTCGTTTATTCTAGTTGTTAAAATTTGAAAAGACGAATAAACACTGAACTAGATAATTAACTACTGTTACTGATGAAAATACAACAAAATATGAATAAGGATTAATGGTTCTTAAATCTGGTATTGTGAACTTTCCTCAGGCAGTTAAAAACTCTTCCAAACAACAATCCGAGAAAAAAGTATATTCTGACTGAAACTATGATAAGAAATTATTTCCTAGTAATTATAGAAAACGTTTTCCATAGACAACTATGCAGCTTTCATTCATAAAATGGTAAATTATGAACAATTCAAATACGACCAGTAATATTAGTCAGAAACTTCAGGTTTGGTGGAGATAATATTAATTTTAGACTACTTATTTGTTATTTAATGGCCTATATTTTCATCTTTAGTAAATCAGCGATATGATCCAATTGTCACTCGTTGTTTTGTTAACCTAAGTGGCTCTGTTTTCTGAATTAATATTCATTCTCTATTGGTCCGTCACTTATTTACTTAATTCAATGTTTTACTACTTATTATGTAATACTGATCACTTTGTTACTACTTTAAACATATATTATTTACAATTTTAACGATTGGATATTGGACATTGAATTTTCTACATTTTATTGTATAGCTGGCAATAAAAACCCTGAAGAGATAGAATGGTCAAATAAAGTTCTTTGTTTTAAGTTTATCAGAAAATTTAAAAACTTATTGAAAATAAAAATAAAAATTTATTTATTCGATGAGTTTATTGATTGGCAATAAAAATTATTTATCAAACAATCCAATTACATACAATGAGAATGATCCAAGTTAATGTAGTAAGCTACAATTTACATGTTATTATTCATTCAACTCAGATAATTGATATGATTTAGATAGAAAGTCAAAAAAAAAACATTTATACATTGATTACCTACTTACTTTACTTACGCCTGTTATTCCCAATGGAGAATAGGCCACCGACCAGCATTCTCCAACCCACTCTGTCCTGGGCCTTCCTTTCTAGTTCTATCCATTTGTTGTTTATTTTTCTCATGTCTGTTCCCATTTCCCGACGTAATGTGTTCTTTTGTCTTCCTCCTTACTTTGGCCTTCAGGATTCCATGTGAGGGCTTGTCCTGTGACGCAGTTGTGTGCTTTCCTGAATGTGTGTCCTGTCCACTTCCAGCGCTTCTTCCTGACTTCTACCACCGTTGAAATCTGGTTTGTTCTCTCCCACAATAGGTTGTTGATGATAGTGTCTGGCCAACGGATCTGAAGTATTTTGCGTAGACAACTGTTAATAAACACCGGTAACTTCTGGATGATGGCTTTCGTAGTTCTCCAGATTTCCACCCCATACAGTAGAACTGTCTTGACATTCGTATTGAAAATTCTGACTTTGGTGTTGGTTGGCAGTTGTTTTGAGTTCCAGATGTTTTTCAGTTGTAAATATGCTGCTCTTGCCCTGTCGATCCGCGCCTTTACATCTGCATCAGATCCACTGTGTTCATCAATGATGCTGCCCAGACATGTAAAGGTTTTTACATCTTCCAAATCTTCTGCGTGAAGTGTGTGCGATAGAAGAGCCATATCATCCGCGAAGTCTAGATCATCCAGCTGCATCCTATCTGTCCACTGTATTCCATGCTTTCCTCAGTTGTTGACATTCACATGATACAGTCGATCATCAGAAGAAATAGAAAGGGTGAGAGTAAGCAACCTCGCCTGACGTTATACATTGATGATATGCCTTAATCTTTGGTCAATATTTGCTAATTGCAAAATTAAAGGATCATTAGTGGTTGTTTTGTATTTTTCATTGAACAAATAGTTTACTTATTTTAAGTTAATTGAATATTTTAATACAGATTTATTTGAATGCAATATTTTTAGTCAAATGAAAATATCTATCCTTTAAAAGCTGTTCAGTGGATAGCTAAAAGAGTAGGGGTGAGCTTGGATGGATGTTTTGTAAGCGATTTTGAATAGTTCTATAAATGTAGTCATTTCATTAATCTAAATTAATTAATTATTCAATCAGAATAATAATAAAAATCTGAAATTACATAAGGGTCGAAGAGTGATAAAAGTAATATAAACCAAATAGAAAGTCAAGATTCCAAACGTTCAGTGTATCAAATTTAATAACAGTATGAATTAATTATTTTAGGATATCGAATAGCTTTCTTTATTTCAGTGTTAAATAAATTGCTCTTTATATGAATCAAGACGGACGTTGTGAATGTTGACTTAAAGTGTTAAATGCTCATAGTAATAACACGATTTCATGCGAAATGACAAAAATAACAGTAAAATACAGTAACAGTATAAAATGTCACTCATTGTGTATTACCAACATTTATGATGTAACAGACAAGGAGACTAGTTGACTCACTTAATCGTTAGTATGAGAAAAGTGTTTAGGAATTCAGGATCAAATTGTAAAATAAAGCTGCCCTACTTCATATAAACTACATCTGAAAACATATATATCGAGCTATTTTAAAATAGACGATTGAACATTTTGAGGCGAAACATTAATAGTTTGTCATGATTTCATCTAAATGCAAATGGATATAATGAACACCTTAAATTTCTAAGAAATCATACTTTCAATCTTCAGTTTCTCTCATCATTAAATATCTTAAATGAATTGGTATATTCTTAATTCATTTCGAACTCATTAACAATTCCCCCTCTTTCAAATGGGATTGAACTCAGGACCTGCAGGTCTCCTGACGAGCACAAAACTGTAGGCGGACAGTGAGTTAACAGATGGAGGAAAAAGTTGGGTACAAGAAATAGAAAATATTGGCGAATACTTAAAACTTTTTAATCATCTGAGTTGGTTGATGAGTGCTGTTAATAAATTCTTTACTAAATTTCAACTTAGTGTAACTAAGTACAGGTTTGTTGAACTGTGAATGCTATTCCACTGACCTTTATTGACATTGAAAGTGACTTTGATATTATCAGCCAGTAAGTTTACAGACTGTCGAAATAGGGACTATAGATAAAAAAGTAATGAAAATAACATACATGTAGTGGTTTTACTTAGCTTATGAGATTTCAAGGTCCATAAATAAATACTAAAGAAAATCAGTACATCTTTGGGTTATCTATCATACTACAAATACTTTTACGAACATCTCATAGCTTTAACAATATTTGTGCACACTTTCTGAATTGTCGACGAAATGATGTTCAATCAGTGGTCTAGGAACCACGTAAATGAAATTAGTAACTTGTGAAAGTAATCTGTATGATACATTCGAACCAGTAATAAACCGATTTATTTGAGGGTTTGATTTATACAAAAATAAAGCAAAAACTATAACATTTCGTCATTTAGTGTTAAGATTAGAGGCATTGAGTTAGTACTAAGATTTGAGGTTATGCTTACGGGTTTTAGTTATGAGTAATTGTTAAGAATAGATTGACAACATACTTTTAGGTATATCAATGACCACGAATTTCAAGAACCCTAAGTTATCCTCAAGACTTCAAAAACTGTGGTCTGCATTGCATTAATTCCCTGATTTTTATCAATTTCACGCATCTTATTAACTGAATATTAGTAGGTAATATTTAGCTCTTAATAAGCTGTAAGTTTATCCATCCGCTTTTTAATATTCAGTAAGTATGTAGTTTGCGCTTTCAAACACTTTTCCGTTCTTTTACAGCACATGCTACCTATGGAGATGTAACGTGCATTGAAGATTTCATTTCAAGCTCTAACTTTCACAGTATTTGTGTTTTTCTTTCACCGTGTTGAAATGCGCTACAAAGACGTATTCATAGAAGACAGATGTGAATAAATTCAGATGCTTGAAACGAAATCTCCAGTGACAATTGTGATCTTAGATACAGCACTTATTCACTGAATGAACAAAAATAAAACACGCTGCACGATTGTTGAGCAGTGAAAAGCGGAAAGATAAAATCTACGATTTGAATTTCGCACAGAAATGCAAAAGCCAGTTTTGATAAATCTGATTGGTTTATCAGAAAGTGTATTTTTTACCGAAGTGTGTGTTTCATTTAATTGTGCTGTCACATCATATTACTTCCTTTTTAGTATAGCACACTAAACTTCTTTGTATTCCTCCGAAGCATTCATGGGCTAAATGAGCTCATTTCTACCAGAGACCTGAAATCTCCAACATTGATTATAATTCACATGGCAGTTTTTCCTTGTATACTTAGGTTTAGACAAAACTTTGTGATCAAATTCTAATGATAGTACTCCGGTGGCTAAACTGGCTTGGACATGAGGTGGAGTTGGAAGTGTGTTAAGAACCTTCATTTCAGTGGTAATAAGTCCACTTAACCAATAAACCACAGATTCTTATTACTATATCAAGAACAATGAAGAATAACAGTGATAACAATAAATACTAATCAAATGAAACATCTTACCTGTTTAATGATAGATTCTGTTTATCAACCAATTTTTCCACAGAAACATTTTGGTGTTGATTAATTGAACATTTATCTTTTTGTAATTCATAATCATGTTGAAATAATATATTGTTATTTATTCCATCCACTGCATCAGTACCATTTGTATTCATTAAATGTTGAAATACTTCCTGAGCATCTTTTGGTATATTAATGCTTTGATTTGGTCTAATAGTTATCGAAGTTGTTGTTGTTGTCGGTGTTGTTGTTATTGATAAACGATTATTTGGCTGATGACTTTGATTGCAAGGTACCGACAATAATGATGAAGTAGATCTACATAATGGTTTAATATCTAATACGGTCTTATAACTGACAGTTGGCTGGTTTTGGTGTTGTCGTTGTTGTTGTACATGACTCTTTTCATTTTCAACATTATTTATCATCGTCTCATTATCATGGAATAGTAAGCCTGAAGAACTGGAATACAATAAATGACTCATATCAGTAGTAATTGGAGTAGTAGTTGTCACTTCAGTCCTTACATTTAATTGTGTTCTAATATGTTGAATTGCATTTTTGATTTGATCCTTTACAACATAATGATTATGCATAAAATGAATAAGAATAAATAAGTATTATAGAAAAATAAAAGATATTCAAATTAGAATAATTTATTTATAAGTTCACTATTTAATGAGATGGGTGTTCTATTTACAGTCAATAGAATATAACATTAAAATATAAAGATATTCATTTCCTTTCATAACAGATAGTGAATTTGGGTGACCAATTAAACTAAGAAATATATAATTACTTCACCATACAAACACAGCATTAACTATAAGTAATCAATCCACGATTAGTTGAAGTCAGACATTAACACCGTTGGATGCCAGCTCAATGGTTGAGAGGTTAAACATTCGTGAGCCAGACCGAAGGTTCTGGACTCGAATCCCATGTGTGAGATCGTGGGTGCGCACTGCTGAGGAGTTCCATAATAAGACGAACCGGCCATCTAGTGCTTTCAGGTTTTCAATGGTGGTCTAACATTGATCGATTCATGATCTCAATCAAAAACTCAACAATCTCCACAATCCCACATTGACATAAGTAGTCAGTTTAATAGTGGGAAGTATACAATTGTCAGTTATAGCTCATTTCATAGTTATTGGCTACAGATCGTTAAGATTATACGAAAACAAATGCTTAACATATTCAACAAATTATACTGAATTAGAAATATTTAAAGGCTAGTATTTAGTACTTTCTTCTATTTTCATTTGAATTAATTACTAAAACTTACTCAAGTTGAATAGTCAGATTAATGTTCTATATTTCACAAGATTCAATCTATGTTTCACCATAATTCTGGAAATACTGACTGATTTCATTTAATTATCAAAATAATAAAACAGAACTTTGAACGTTCAGTAAAACAAAATCAGAATATTTTACCTTGAACTAAACAACTGTTCTCTGTTATCATCTACAGTACATCATAAAAACTAGTTACAAATAAGTTACTGAACTTATACACACACATATAAGATTTAAAAGCTAAACTGAAGGCACAAGTATTTATATGGTGATTTGAATAAATATTATTGTTTAGGATCATAAAAACATCAATGAGTAACTGCGGGAAAATAGGTTATCATTTTATAAATTTGTGAACTATAAAGTTTCCATGTTTTTTTTTAATACCTAATCAAGCTTGATTATTCTAGTTGTTTTGATCGATGGCATGATGTTGTGAACGACAGAAATCGAAAATCTCGACAGAGTCTGATAAATGGAATGAAAGTGAAGCAAGATTTAGTTGATCAAGTGATAGAATCCCTAAAGGAAATAACTAAAAGATAATGAATTATCGTCTAATATAGCAGTCTACAAAGAAGTTATTCTTATAAGCGAATTTATTTCATTAGTGTTTGAAAATAACCAGCAAGATAATGAACTATGTATTGCTCTACTCAGAAGCCATTATTTGAGGAAATGAATATTATCTGGATCTAGTCAGTTAGCTATTAGTTATAATTAACACAGAACATGCATATGACCGTATTAACTTAAGTTCCCATGATAAATCAGCACAGAGGGGTGAAATTATCAAAATAAATACTATAGTGCCGGAAGTAGTAAAAGCATCAAGGATAGTGAAAGAGGTTAGACATAAAGGATAAGATCCAATAATAAAGAATGAATTCGCGGAATAAAATCTGTAGGACAATTTTAAAACTGAGGATCTAGGGGAAGATCACAAATGAATGAATCTGTACTATTTTAGCCAGTTGAACACCATGTCTGCTAAAGCTACTACTATCTCTGTTACTCCTCGTGGAGGAGCATAGGTCGCCGACCAGCATTCTACATCCAACTCTGTCTTGGACAATCGTTTCCAGTTGCTATTCATCCTTTTGATGTCTGTTTCCCATTGTTGGCAGTGTTCTTCTTGGTCTCCTACTATTCCTTTTCCCTTCAGGATTCAAAGTTAGCGCTTGCCTCGCGATGCAGTTTGGTGATTTCCTCAATGTATGTCCTATCCCCTTCCAGCATCTTTTCCTAATTTCCTCTTCAACTGGAAGCTGGTTTGTTCTCTACCACAGTAGGTTGTTTCCAATGATATCCGATCAACGGACATTCAGTATCCTGCGTGGACAATTGGTTATAAATACTTGTACTTTTCTGATGATGGTTGTAGTAGTTCTCGAAGTTTCAGCTCCGTACAATGTAACTATCTCGATGTTCGTATTGAAGATTCTAACTTTGATGTTGGCCGACGGTTGTTTTGAGTTCTATATGTTCTTCAATTGTAGGAATGCTACCTTTTCCTTGCCAATTCTTGCCTTAACATGTGCATCAAATCCTCTTTGTTTATAGATGATGCTACCCAGATACGTGAAGGTTTCCACATCTTCCAGAGTTTCTCCATCAAGTGTGATAGGGCTGATGTTCTTCGTGTTGTATTTTAGGATTTTGCTTTTTCCATTGTGTATGTTGAGACCTACTGCTTCAGAGGCGGGTGCTGCATTGGCTGTCTTTAACTGTATTTGTCGGCGGTGATCCGGTGAGATCCATGTAGCTTTGTGTGTTTGTGGGGGAATGTAAGGCCACCTATAACCATTTTGGTTGAACGCACATAAATTAACAAATCTCTCACCATTCTCGTTCCTTTCTCTAAGTCCATGTCGTCCCATGATATCTTCATACACAGTGTTGTTTATTCCGACCTTGGCGTTTAAATCCTCCATCAGGATGATCATGTCCTTTCCTGGGTACTGTATACCTTCATAAAACTGATCTGTATCGTCACCATTGCTATCATTGGCGAGTGCATAACATTGGATAACATTCATTGTGATCTCCTTCTTTGTTTTGGATGATGCTTTGACGATTCTGGATCCATGAGATTCCCATCTTATAAGTGCTTTACGTACTTCTTTGAACAGAGCCAGCTCAAATCCTTACTTGTGCGGGGCATGTTCTTCTTTGTGACCAGAGTACAGCAGCATCTCTGTCTAATCTAACCTTCTCTGTCTGTCCAGATCGGGTCCATTGGGTTTCATTGATCCCGAGCACCATCAAGTTCTATCTCTTCATCTTAAAAGCTATTCGGTTGGTCGACTTGGTCTCCCACATCGTCTGAACATTCCATTTACCTTTATTATTTGTTGCTCTGGTCGTTAGAAAGTGCATCGGCCTCGTGACGTTTGAAGAATTTCGACTTTTACCATGAGGCTTCATAAATGAAGATCCTTGTACTTCCAGGGAAGGGTTTAGATGGTTTGAATTGTTCATTCTGGTTAGCATTTCTAGAAAGCTTATTTTCTACGGGATGGGGTTGCTGATCCAATACCTAGCTCTCCGCCTTTGCCCGGGCTTGGGACCGGCAATAATCCTAGAAGAGCTACAAATGGAGTTTGCCAAAGTATGACCGCTAATATTCAAATACATAAATTCTCGTGTTCAGTACCAAAATCTTTTTTAACAATCTAATAACGAATGCTTTTTTAGTCTCAATTACTATTCAAAAATAATCACCTGTAAAATAAAATTAACAATTCTACGATTGTTCAATGATTAACCAACTGTGTTCTGTATAAAAACAGCTGAATATTCCTAAAAGAGAATATTATGACATAACTTTAAAAAATGAGTTAATTACACAGTAATTTATATTCTACTGAAATTTATTATATTACTCATATATATATTAGATTATCAGGCTTTGTATCTTCCAAAAATCTCATATACCCCGTAGTCTGAATTCATTACATTTAATAATGTTCATTAGTGTAAGAGATGCTAATAAGATTTCAAGTTATTAACTAAGTGTAATATGATCGCTTCCCTAGGCCCCCATAGGAGGTGACAGGATTAGGTAAGTAAGTAATATTATAGAACTTTCAGTTACCATTGATAATGTTACTTAAAATGTTGCAATAGTCGAATATTGAGTAATTATATTAAGATTTTCAAAAATAAATTAATCGGTTTATAAAATGTAACGCTTATAAACGAAATAGAACAAAAAGGACCTAACAAGTTAACTGATTGATTAAAACTTTGTATAGTTACCGATATACTGATATATTATAGCCACAATAAATAATTTGCATAACTGAAGATTAATCCTTACACATACACTATGTAGATCATTCTGGCCAAGTACAAATCCGAACTGAAATGAATATTTGTATCCCCTGTATCCGAAGAAGGCACTGCTGAAATTGTGCAGAAAGCCAATGGAAGCTGGGTAGTCCAATTATCTAGGCTTATTGAACATGACGCCATGAGACTAAATGGAACAAATTTAATTTTTAACAGGCAAAATTCTATACTCAGATTTTCGTCTGTTATCCTATTGAGTTGACAAAAGATCCATACTCCGTGTGACAATAGTTGAAACACTGTGTAGCATATTAAACACGATTTAAAGAACTTAACCAAACTATTATTCTCCCTCATTATCTCGAACAACAGAGAAAATTCTTAGCTACTTTTCAAAGATCTGTATACAACAGCATTCTCCTGTCCTAGTTTTAGCTACTCTAAAAGACAAATCTTTTAGAGATTTTTTTTTAAACACAGATCAAAGGGAATTAATTCACATTGACATTCATCTAATTATATGCTAATTACATTCAATGATTATTAATTAAACAATTTATTAAAATAAACAAATGTCAATTGAAGTAAACAAAATTATAGTAAATTAATTAATACAATCAAACTTTGTTGAAAGCCACCGGAGAGAAAATCAATAAATTAATTAAAAGATTGATCTCTTCGTAATAAATTGTATTTGAAGAATTAATATTCCATCATAAGTAACATTTTAAGCAACGATGGAAAGTGGTTAGCAGTAGAATCCACACGTGCGTTCCATTCTATTTGAGACTCGTCAGCTCTATGTATCTGCATCCGAGTTGATGTTCGCTCCGGGACTCCAACCCAGCACCGTTCACTTCAAACGCCATCTCGTTATCTACTTAGCTACTGAGCCTTGATGGCAACCTGCTTGTGCAATAGGGTGGAGTTTAAATTCACTTGTATCTTCCCATTGTTATTTAGGATCGCAATTGATCAGTCTCTTGTTGGCATATGTGCATCCGAGTCCCGGAGTGAACATCAACTCTTGGATGCACGTACATCCATCTGACGAGTCCCAAATAGAACGAAATGCGCGTTCTAAATTCCACTGCTAGCCACCATCCATCTTAACTTAAAAAGCTTGTGACTTAAGGCTATATCAAGGCAATCCGCACAAGATACACAGATACCAATGAGTGACTGATCAATTGCAGTCCTAAATAACAATGGGAAGATACAAGTAAAACAACACCAAGTGAATATAAGTAACATTTGTTTATCATTGAAAAATTACGAAAAACATTTTCTATGATACATTGTTGTTGTAGAATTTTTTTCTTAATTAAATAAGTAATTTCGTAGTTATATAATATAACCTTGTGGGCCAGGGTAATCTTACATTGGTTTTCAGAAGAACCAGACACCATCCAGACTTTCACGTGACAACCCAAACAGTACAGTTCAATCCTGTTTCCAGGAGAACCAGACACCATTGAGGCTTAAATTTTATAACCGGAGCAGTATAACTCAACTCCAATTCACAGAAGAAGCAGACACCATATAGGCTTTAACGCTACAATCTAAATAGTACAGCTCAATCCTGTGGCGCAACCACACAGGTATCAAGCACCCTGGTGGATCAAAGTAATCTATATTCATATTAAACTATCATGATTTTAAAAGAATTTCTTATGATCATTTGGTATGAAAGTTAATTAACAGAAAGAAAAAGAAAAGAGAAATAACAGAAATTAGATCTCTTTTTTAACATTGTCCCATGGGATCCAATGAATTAAGTATTAAGTACTAGTTGTAATAATCATTGTCAAATATTTTCCCATTTATTCTCAACGTTTGAAAAATAGCATGGTCGGATGACAGAAAAATATGATTATGTGTTTCAAATTTTGAAATATTTAGTACGTCGTTAAAGAAACATTATAACAAACTGTATTTTATCATTGAATAAAGCTATTGTTTTATAATTAATCTACTCAGAATAGTAGTTACTAAAGTGATTTTATAGAAATAATGTTCAGTTTTAAAAGCAGATTTTAAGATAGAGTGAAATTTGTTGAAATACAACTGAAATGCGAAAAATACTAGAGAGCTGCTTAGTTTCTACTGCTCAATTGCCTAACTGACCTCAAGGGGAGATGGTGAGACTATAATTTATAGACGAACCAATCAGGTATAAGACAACAGGTCTAGGATTTCGGCACAAAATTCACTCGTCCATTTGGATAAATAGAGTTTTGGCATTATAGCTTATGTCAGTTCGTGATGGAAATCCTAAATCTCATTCCTAACCTTAACCATCAACTATAAATCATAATTCTGATTCCTCACACTGGTTTGTAACTATAATTTAGTTCTAGTTAGTGGGTGGACATTCTCAAGGTCGATTTAGCGTCGCTCAAAGATCGTCCATAAATTATAGTCTTACCGGGGTGAAACTATTTTTCAGGAATGATTTATAATTCTATAAATCATATTATTTCTTTTAACGGTATGCTAATATATATTGTGATCCTCATTCAAAATGATCAATGAGTTACTTCACCACTTTTTACTTGTTTAACTCCACAGGTCATAATTTTTTATTGGAACTTCAAGAAATCTATATAAGCTAGTCATTAATAAACAAATATCTTGTAAAGATAGTATATCGTTTCTAAATCCATTATACTTAAGAATATAAAGATGGTGAGTATAGTTATAAGGAAATGAGTACCAGAAATACTTGGCGACTGCTAAAGTAATATTAATTTAATACTGGGTGATGGGGGGCTTGGTAATACTTAAACCACTAGTAGGAATCTCATAAAATTTAAGTCCCCTCCTCACTGTAATAAAAAAGGGAACTCAATCCATCGATCACATTTTAAATTAATTAAGGAATGATTAGCTCCGTACGTACGTTCACTAGTTCAAGTCGGTTTCAAATGAGATGGAAGGTACGAGATGAAAGATTGGTGTGATATAATAAAAACAGAAAAAAATTCGATATACCATATGACTCATTGATAAAGTATCACTAAAAACTCATTACCAATTAGGTCATGTGCCTCAGAAGGGTACAGGTCCCAATTTCGACATGGTAACAGTTTGATCTAATATCTTAGATAAGAAGAAAAGTGTCGCTAAACATAGAAGTAGATAACAATTCTAAACTAGAACGTTAGAATTAATAAATTGCTATGTCGTACAATCATCCGTTTACGATATTAATGTACAAGTTTGCTATATGTGTACTCAAACCAGGTACCTGAATGAGAAACACAAGAATAGCAGGTAGTTTTTATTGATTAACTGAGCCGAGAATATATTCACAATTCATTCATAGATATAGATACATTTCCTTCAGAAAATAAAACTGCATTTCGACCAGTTGTGTATGTCTATTTAATAAGTAAGTGAATCCAAATCTTGATCAATAGCGTGGACCCACCAGTATCTTCTATTTATCGTTCGGAATTCGTCTCGTTTGCCCACTATGTCATAAATTTAAATTTCTTAACTCATATTTCATTAACCATGAATCTCCTATTTTTTTTTAAAATTTACAACACATTTCATCTAATTACTTATTAAAAAACAGTTCCAACATACTACTGAAATACAACTAAACTATTTCAAGAGTTAATTCAGTACGTGACATCTTTTAACAGAAGTATTTAGCTCAGTTTTTTTTAGAGGAAAAGCAGATCAATAAAATCTATCAAAACTACAAAGCCTACTTTGTTTGAGGAAAGCCAATAAGAATGAAATACGATACTTAGACTTTCAATTTTATCATTATGATATTACAATTGAACAAAACAAACAGCTTATGATAAAACAATGGGAAAAATTAAGTTTTATAGTTGAATCTTAGTTTCACTAACTAACGAATAATCTGCAAAATCCTACTATGTTACAATCAATTTGTTCTAAATGCTTTTGAATATTGATCATTTTTATATCCATGTTACTAGGATGAAATAATAACTTCGCAGTCAGATGTCCTAGTTTTTGATGTTTCTAGATAGATATTAGCGAGTAAAAAAATAAAACAGTCAATCTGTAATTGTCAAATTAAAATGATTAAAACATAATTTATCGTTTACTAGACCTTGTTTGGACGTTTCTATAGAACGCCGGTTTTTTAAAGTATTTGAAGGGAATTTTTGACTTCTGAAAACTTTTACGAAAAATTATCGTGGATCCCTAACATTGAGAAGCTGATATATTTTAGTAAAATGATAAATAGTCCATGAAGGTTCAAATCCCCCAGGGATTATTCATTCTCATAAGATTTTATATTGCCCCTGTCAAAAAGGATGAACTAGTATAAAACCTATATCTAAGTTGCCTGTAGATTAATTGATTGTGCGAGTAACTTACTGATCAACATTCAGAATATAATACCACAATTTTGTAGATAAATACTAGTAGGAGTGTTAGGAACTCTCAAGAATTCCTCGAAAGAGTTTTCAGAAGCGACAGAGAGCTTAAATTCCTTCATTCGATTGAAACTTTCCAAAGAGCTCTAGAAAAACAATGAGTTATCTATCAGATCCTGATTGTAAAATTATCAATTTCTTCACTAAATTTATCATACTTCTAGAAGCTTCCAGAATATCAGGTTCACCCACAAACTCATAAATATCCTTGTCTTCCGTACCTAAACTAACCTTGAAAGTTAAGCATCTTTCTACACTTTCGGGGTTAAAGTGTAGGATATTTCTTTGGGAAATAATAAGCAACTAGAAAGTCGGTATCAAATTTTTAAAAACCAAACCTATCAAAGAGGAACCCATATGAACTCTGTTAATCACTTGAGATTACTTGAAACATTTACATATGTAATGTTACTTACTCTCATAACTCAGTTAGAATATTTCCAACAAATAAGTGAATTAAAAGAAATCTCTTTATTAAAGAATTAGATTAAATTTTTAACACTTTTGAAAACTACAAACCTCTAAATCTAAGAAAATGCCTAGAGAAATCAAAATGAATGTGGAGAATATGAGTAAACGAATAAAAAACAAACAAGTACACAATCAATTTTTATTTATTTTTACAATTGAAGTTGGCAAGAGGACTAAATAAATTGGGGTTATTTATTGCTTATATATTTGAAATAGTTTTAACTTTAATGAACACTGTAGAAGGTTTTATGCTACATGAACCCAATTTCTCCTACGACTAATTCTACTACCCGGACTACCGAGTGAGCAATGCTGATGTTAGACTCAGATTAATAGGGAGGGATGGTAAACCTATTGATGAGAGAGTGAATGCTTATCGACTGAGATGGTTGGAACGTGTAGTACATATGCACAATCACCGTCCGCATCGACGAGTGATGATAACTGGTATAGGAGAAAGTTGAAAGAAAGCTTGAGGTGCTCAAACTAAAACATGAGATCAGTCCATGAATTTATTGACTGTTGGACCGAGCTATGTACGTACATGCAGATAAAATGTTGGGTTCCACACGATCATAGTAACCAATGGCTAAAGACTTTGGGTGATGGATGAAAATCTATTGCCATGGCCCAGATGCATTCACTTTTTACCTCCCTTTAGATTCTAAGTTTCTTAATAAACTTCACAGTAAAAATTTGTTCTATAAATCCATCTTTTTCTCTCTAGTCATATTTCCGATTTCTAATCATTTCTATTACTGCTGATACTATTGCTAATCATACTGTTCTGACACGTAGTTGTGCTGATATAATGCGACAACTTGAACCGATGCACATTGTATCATGTTGTACTTAGAGTATAAGTAACTAAATGACTAACTACCCGCATATTTCTTGAGTACTCATATGACAACAAATTACAAATAAACAGTCAATCATTTACAACATAATTTTGACTTACTTTTGACAGTCCATATTCATTCATAGTTGCATGTTCATGTAGAATGGTATTGACATTTCTAAATACAAAAACCATTTGTCAGTTTTATAGCTAACTTACTTATCAGTAAGAACACCACGTGTTAATACATCGTCCGTAACAGAAGATATAAATTTCAAATAGTTGACTTCATTCTTTCTGTTTGTGTATGTTTGTTTGTTTGTTTTTTTGAAGATAGAATCAATGACAAAAACAACTATTTCTTAGTGTTAATTAAACTTGGGAATTGATTATCACATAACTCAAAAAGTAAGTGAAATAATCAATAGCAGCCTGCTTGAACATCTGTGCTACTTGTTCCTGCCAACTAGATATTTCAACAAGTTATCTAATTTTGTGCATTTCTGAAAATTGTACGACTTTTGATTGTATAAGTTACAAAAGACCCAATCAGATATATCGTGGTTGCTGGGAATATACAACGAAAAGAATGTACATTATTTAGATGTCGACCGACTGAACTGCCAAATTTTAACTGGCGATCGCTCAATATTTATCGTCAGGATCAACCAAGAAGTAAGAAACGGAAACTTGTTGAAATACATTGTGCTGAGAATTCTATGTTGTAACAAAAATCTAATGTTAAGTAAAGCTAATAATAATACGAAGACGAAGAAGTTTTACTGAGATTTATTTCTTATTAAGCTGTAGTATTGTCCATCATAAAAATGAATATTGATCTTGAAGGAAAATTTTGTTCTTACAAAAAAATTTGAAATGACAATTCACCTAATTATACGATAGAAATTTGTTAAAATTCATACTTAAACTTACAAACTAGATGATTCTTTCACTATCTAACAAAGAAACGATATTTAGTTGAATATACATCAGTGGAGCACTGAAAAACTACTTTGTTCTAGTTCGGAACTCATCAACAGTATCTGTCCGTGACCCACTATCCGAGTCTAGTATTAATGGATGACACAACAGATCTACTGGTTTATATTTCCAACTTCACCGAATTCCAGATTTTGTTTGGTGGTTATTTGAAATCTTTGAATTACTGTCTTACTTCCAACAGTATTTAACTCTTCAGGTAATGGCTTTTAATGTTAATCTGTGTACATAGACCTTTAGTAATTGGACAATTCCCACGGATCTATTTTTCGCAGAATTGTTGTGAATAATAATGATAAGTATGATTATTTTATTCGCATCGGTCTAGTACCAAAGATCTTTTCCGAATACAACATATAATAGTAAGGTGAAAAAAATGAACAATAGGTTATCGAATTTTCTGATGTGGTCTTGACTCAAAATATCCAGTTTGCAAGACATTTAGTCGATACATTTTTCTTCACCATACAGTTTGAACTAATTTATGCGGAGGGAAGAATACGTACTTATCTATCCGTAGATCATCCAAGTTCTTATCCATGAAACTTTTGATTAAAGTGGTTGTGATGAAGAACTTTATCATCTTCCTGAGTTACAGACTGTCATAATAAAGTCTGAAAACAAAGAGCTATTTTTCTAATATATCGGATATTTTCATTTATCTGACGAGAGATCATGATTTTGGTTCTAAGTAAACTAGAATAAAAGTATGGATCAGTTGATAAGTTGACTAATCCCCCAGAAAATTTATTCAGTTGTTTGATATCATTGACTATCATTTATATTTCATCTTTATTCCAGAATTAATTTTGTCATTTGTAATTCAAAATGACTGGGTATGCAATAAATGAGAAATTGTAGTTTCAAAAAAAGAAATAGAAATTAAGACCTTAGTTTAGTTAAACGTTTGTAAATATGAATTAGCTCAGAAAACCGACGTTTCTTGAACACTCATACTGATGAACTTCGCTTAAACTTATAAAAACAAAGATTTAAGATGAGTATATTATCCTAAATTTTAACGTTGAATGTATGTGTTTATTTATATTTAACAATGGGGAATAAAGTACCTTACCAGAAGAATCCTTTAATTGTAATGAGAACGTTTTTTTGTTTTTTTCTATTTCACCACCAAAGATTTAATCAATTTCACGTTAAATAAACTGTAAATGATAGTTATTTCTTCCACTAATAAAAAATATTCACATTATTCAAAAACTAAGACTGAGGTAGACATACTTTCAATAGTTCTCTTACCTATTATCTACTTGACAGTAGACATGACGCTGAGATTTCAAAATCATTTAAAATTATTGATGAATAAACGATTGCAAACTTATTACCTTTAACCGAAGCTATCGTCTTCAAAAGTCTTAAAGTGGATTTATGTAATTTAAAGGTTAATGATGGTCACTCTTGCATTGCCCTGGTGATCTCAGTTTTCAATGTATAGTAACATAAATATTTCCTTCATATATTCTTGCATTCTATCGGAACTTCACTCAATTTAATCTTTTTAATCAATCCTTTTTATTATTATTATTAAACTTTTAAAACCAGTTTTTTTATTAATCTGTCCCATACGGTCTATAAGATTTTTCTAGAATTTTCACATTGCTTAACATGGAAATAATCAACAACTAAAACATCTTTTCCATATTTATTATTATGTTATAAGGTGGTGGTTGGAGATGTTCGACAGGAAACCCTGCTTGACATAAGTTTCTTGCTATTTGGCATTCCTCAGAAGAGTGTCCCTATAAACCTGATGAAACTAATTCTTCCTGACGGTTTTGGTCCAGTGTCACCCAGCTTCATAGCCAGGGAAATTTCAAATGAGCATCCAGACCCTAGCTGACCATCTATAGGACTGAGATGTATTCACAACCGATTGGTCATTGAGTAGTGACTAATGTCATGTATGTCTAGTCCTTATTAGTGCTAAACAAAGTCCATCTATTAAGTTCTAATATACCCATTGACCTAAGCGACCAGCCTAAGCAGCCTGAATACCTCAGCAGTCACGTCTCTGACTATGAACCTGGATAAAACGGGATCGAATCTTTCAGGGAGCAATAGTTTTGTCAAGATTGCAGGCAAACTTTGATGACGAATATGGAATAGCATGAAACCTAAGTTAAGCAGGGTTTCCTGTAGACTATCTTACATCTTAACATAGTGCACCCGAAGTCAAGTCGCTTAAACTAGTGGCAACATTGGGACTTGATCGGTGGAATTTGATCAGCACTAATCAGTGATCAATCAACCGTAAATATTACTGTTTTGTTAATCCTAATAGATGAGAACATTTCTGACATCATGATGTCAAGTATGTAAACTGTCTTATTTGTAAATACTTGGTACTAATAACCCAAGGTTGTAAGCAGCTAAAGAGAAAATACAAAATAAGATAAATTCAGGTACATTCATTTTTCTTGTTCAATTGAACAAAATACTAAATAAACTAATCAGATTTTTTGAACTACGGGAACTCTTTCTTGTAACAAATTACCATTCATAAATTAACATACTAAAATTTCTTTTTTTACATTTCTTTGAAATTTACATTAAAATGGAAATAAATTTTATGATTTATGAAGTTGAAACAACTAATTTAATTATATGTAAGTTGGTTCAGGATAAATGAACAAGCTAAGTATGTATCTCTTTTGGGTGCATAGATCTGAATTCAGTTACTCGATACTAATTACTTTCACCAGATAAATGACGTGTAATATTACACCATTTGATAAATTAGTTGGGACTCGATATTGTGTTCATTGTCCATCAAATAACAACGAACGATGAAATTCATATACTTGAAGGGTCATGTTCCTAATGAAGGTGGTACGTACTCGCAAGCACTCAATGGTAAATGCTTCTAAATGACTACCTTCAGGGGGGGTCGTTAAATAGTTAAGCACACAATGAAGAGACCTTCGCTAGTACATTTTCCAGAATTATGTCAATATATTCTTGTGTTAAAAAGAAATGTGCAAATTAATGTCCCTTAAACAGATCTATTTAGTTCAGTTAAACTACAATAAAAGTAATATCAAGCTGAACTCTAGCAAAATACTCAATTTTGTAAAAATGACTTGAAAATTTGTTATACATTGTGACATTTTTTAAACTAAGACGAGCTTCAATTTGATATTTTACAAATAAATACTAAAATGTATCGAGAATTTATCAAGTTTAATCCAGGATTATAAAAAGTAAACTAATATTTAACAGAACGAAACAGTATTATTTCAAGCAAACTAAGCATATATGTGATCAGACTGTTCTAAATGTATTGACTAAATATATTACATAATCCTGATAATCTTCGTCTTCTCATTTCATTATCAAAACTGAGCATAAACAATTTTCTTTGCTATTCAATAGCAACAATATACCATATTGTCTTTCTGAAGATTGAATATTTACAAAAATGGAAATTGATTCTATTCAAGGAATCTAAAGATGTGAAACTGATAAAATCATATGAATGTTATAGGATAGTTAAAACATTTGATCATTAAAAGAGGTGTGGTGCGTGCTACCTATTTTGATATAAGTAGTATATGATGCGAGTCAGGAATGTAATGTCTGGCGGCAGAAGATGGGGAAGATCAAGAAAGGAAGAGCGGGACTAGAAAGCAATTAGTATGGAAATCCAGGAACAATGAAGTTCGAGACAATTATTGAACATTTTGCAAATTAAGTATTATAGTATGGTTTTTCTATTTTGCCAAGTAACTCTGTAATTTCTTTAAGAGGAAGTTGTATTATTGTTCCAGTCGGTTGAAACTATTTCCAGTACCACAAGAATAGCCTATTTTAGCAGCATATAAATATTCTCATTATGAAAAAAATATAATGATGATTTACTGATGTCCATTTACTAATTTATGTTTAATACAGTGAGTCTACTTATAAAAACTTATGCTTAATTATTCATTCATAGCTTGATACAGTTAAACTACGGACACATAGTATCATTACATTTTTTGTTCATTAGGGTATTAAATATCGACACAATTGTCTGATATTTATCCCTAACTATATACATCAGCATCATCTAGACAATATAAAAAGCCTTATAAGCAAAAACGGATGGTCGCTAGTAGTTACGCCTAGGATGCGCGTTACACCCTATTTGAGACTTGTTAGCTGGATATGCCTGCATCCCATAGTTAATGTTTACACCGGGACTCGAACCCAGTGCCGTTCGCTTCAAACGCCATTGCGTAATCCAATTAGCTACTGAGTCCTGACAGCTCTGGGATTCAGGTACACTCAACTGACGAGTCCGAAATAGGACGAAACGTGCGTTCTGGATTCCACTGCTAACCATTTCTCATCTTTCCTTAAAAAACTTGTGACTTAAGGCAATATCGAGGCAATCAGCACAGGACGCACAAATGCTTATAAATGATTGATCAGTTGCAGCCCTAAACATCAATGGGAAAATTCAAGCAAACAATATCAAATGAATTCAATATAAAAAGCTATTTATAACTTATTTCTTATGCTAAAAAGTAACAAATTAAACAGTTTGTTAATTCCATTTGTATGATCTTGAGTAACTTTCCCTTTGTATGCAATATTCTCACATATATTGGTAAAGTTACATCTAGTTTTATGACATTATTTAATATAATGCCAATCTTAGTATGTTTATTGTAATTATTGATATTTGTCAATGAAACGAATTACAGACATTTGACGTATTAATTTTTGGTAGACCACTTCATACTACTGAAAGTAGGCAAACTATTCATTCTAAATTTTATATTAAAAATATTGGATACAAAATATTTTAAAAGAACGGAATGATGCTTAGTTTCTCACTTTATATAACCCTTTAATTGTAAATTTTAAATAGTTTGGGCTGTCAGATTAAAGTTCATAGAAACAAATTCGTTTTAAAAATATTTAATGGATTAAGTCCCCTTAAATTCACCTCATTATTTCTAACAATAAATAAGTAATCACATTTTTTTTGAATGTTTACAGTCAATAATCAAAGTGTGCCAAGGTTCTGTATTGTTGATGAATTCAAACTAGAAGATTACTGAAGGTATTGCACATTTCGATGATGATAAGAAAACAAGAAGTGAATACAACTACATATGATTTTAGGGGGTAGAACGCAAAAACCACTTACAAATTTTCAATTGACACTTCATTCCCAGTTGGTTTATTCAGCATTTGTTTGTCTGTATTATATGTATAAACGTTTTTCTCTGTAAACGACTTTTCCAGTTTCTCTTCATCACATTGCGCGGATGTAGCAATCTAAGAAAGAGGAGACCAAAGAAATAAGATGAAGGTGAGTTGAAATATTTAGCCAAGTATGATTTCACTTGACTAAACATAATGACTATCATTCTAAAAAGACAAACATGCCAACAATCAATTCACCAAAATCAATATATACTGATCTATTTTAAATTTATTTCGAATATAGATTAAGTCTGTTGAAAAACAGGGAATTTTGACAATGAAACTTCCTTGATATCCACTATAGAAACGTATAAAGTATTTACATCGAACAGAAGAATTTCCGACTACAAAAATTCATCTCATTTAGTTCAAACTATTTTCTATATTTTTTACCCGTCCACATTTTTTTACAATCGCAGTCAGCTTAAATGTTATATATTAAATGTAAGAACGAATCACATTAGAACACATATATAGAAAGAATATTCTTCGTCCATATATTTGTGTTCTAATATAATGCGAATATTTTAGCGGTTGAAATCACATTAGGTCAGCACATCTGAAAGTTCCACTGATAGTTCACTACATCAATTTCCTTACATAATCGTCTATAACTTTAGTTGTTACTACCGTTTTTGGTAGAAAAAAAAAACAAAATACTGAACGAATTAATAATTTTTCAATTGATTTGATAAAGATTTTATTTCCAAATTGGTTGATCATTGAGTAATGACCAATCTCGTATTTGTCTGGTTCTTAGTGGCGGTTAAATCTGTCCAACCAAGTTGCGATGTGACCGTTAGTCTAAGTGAATCGACATTATGTGTACTAAGTTTTGACAGTTAGAAACGGCCCTTATAGCCCAGTGGTAACTTCTCAGATTGTGAAACTAGGCAACCCAAGTTCGAATTCATCAGGGAGCATCAGTCCCTTCAAGGTTGCATAAACCCATTGGTAATGAGTCCCAACTAGCAAGAAATCTAGATCCAGGAACATGTGAAGATATAGTTTCCTGCCGACTTACTTCAACCGCATAAAATCAAGACAGTGCACCCAGTGTCGAACCACTTAGACTAATGGTCACATCGCAACTCCGTTGAATATGTCCAGTCAGTACTAAGGAATAGAAAAAAGATGACATCGGTCACTATTCAGTGGTCAGTCAATCCAAATTTTAATTATTATTGATAACCATAAGCTTGATGTATCTGAATATTATTAAATGTTTTGAATGAAATCGGTCACTGACGGAAGTAGGATATCCTACTGCAGCTAAGATTTTTATCCACTGTTTTTCGGAACTACAGAACATAATATGGTATGCCCCGACCGTTGTTGCTACCTTGACGTGGTGGTCGGGCTTGTCTATCATGATGAATCAACCGGGCTATAGTGGCTGGAACAACTGTTCCTCAAGGTCCTACCATGCCATACAGGTCGGTTGATGAGCGATAAGACTAAAAGCAACAAACCCAAGGTCCGAAGGCGAAGTCGTACTATTGACTGTATAGAGGTGTGACAGCAGTAGGGTGTTTCCTTCAGACAACCAGCATGACAGCGATGCTGCCTTCCCACAAGGAGGGGTGGGGTTAGAAAAGGTCGGCCCTAAAAATGCACACCTCGCCTTATCCCACGGATATCCGTCTCCGGCGGTAAGGTCCCAACAAGTACGGAGCTAACGCAAAAATTACCCATAAAAAGCTCGTGTGTGACCGACCTCAAGCAGTTGTCCCTTGGGCACTGCGGTCACACTCTCAGGTCACTAAGACCACCTCTAACCCAATTTCCTTTCAGGTACCTCCAGAACAACCCTTCCATGGTGTGGGCAACCGGGAAGTGATAACCGCCCTCATACCTCTAACAGCACTCAAGACCACTGTATTCATAATCAACCTCTGTCTTCACTTCCTATTATTCCTCCTGCATCGACTTTCACCTCTAAACTTCCTTTTTCGGCTTCCTCCTCAAGTGTCACCATAGCCAACGATTCTAGTACGCAAAACACTATCCCAGGTCTCTAAGAGTCTCCAACCATTGGTTACAATAGTCACGCGGACCCCAACCAAGTAGTCTGCATCTACCAACATGGCTCAGACTAGAAGTTAGTGACTTCAAGCACTGATGACACGTTTTGGTTTGGCCACTCCTAACTTTCTTCCAACCATCTCGAACACCGGTTAGCATTGCACGTCGTGGTAATCGGTGTTTGGGTATACGTAACATGTGGCCCAACCATCTCAGTCGATGAAGGTTCACAACCTCATCAACTGATTTACCATCATTCCCTAATACGCTGCGTCGAACCTCACTATTACTTACCCGGTGATCCTAGCAGATGCGAGCAATACTTCTAAGGCATCTGTGGTCAAATACTAGTAGCTTACGAGTGTCTTCTACTCTTAATGGCCATGTTTCGCTGCCGTAAATTAAAACAGAACGGACTGCCGCGCAGTATACTCACCCCTTAATTGATAGACGGATATCTCGCCTTCGCTTTAGGTGACGTAAGTTGGCAAAAGCCAAGCGAACTTTTCGAATCCGTGCTGAGATTTCGTTAGACACCAACCCATTAGGGCTGATCAGACTTCCAAGATAAGTGAAGTTGTCAACGCGTTCGACTACTTCACTCCCTATCCTTAGTTCAGGTGTTGACGCAGACCAGTCCTGAAGCAACAAATTGCATCTAGAGGGAGAGAAACGCATTCCAAACATTCTGGCATTGTTGTTTAGTGCTACCAAAAGACTTTGCATTTTATCAGCGTCTTCACCAAACAGGACTATATCATCTGCGTATTCTAAGTCGATAAGTGGACCTCCTGGAAGGAGATCAATACCCGAGAATTCAGTAGACGAGAATGTTATTTCCATCAATAAGTCTATGATGATAAATTGGTCCTACGTTGTAGCTGACTGACTCACTGAATACGGTATGCAGATAAATGAAAACACTCAACACTATAAGATAGTGATTTACCTTCCCTGTATAAATAATCAACTTTCATAGGATATATATATATATATGAAACATTTTCAGATCTGCAATTGGATCTACAATTATTCTACCATCTAATTATATCACAACTTGTGAAATGAATCCAATTAGTGCCCGGTAACTGTTTAAGTCTAATACCCCATCATATGAATGATTCTCATATTATGGATAGAATTGTTAACCAAAAAATAGCCGTTTCATAAACAGGGATTGAAAGTATAGACATATGTAAATATTACCTCTGGTTTATGGACTGTACTATTACCAGGTAGTGTGTTTAGCCACTGTTTAACTTTACCAAAATTATGCAGTCCATCAATATATTCAGTAGACATCGATTGATTTTGTCGATTTCGTTGTGAAATACGTCTGTGATGAGAAGATGGCAGGATATGTTTAGAAGAATAATTAGATATTCTCTTGTTTAAATGAGAGAAAGTGGTTTCTCCTCTATCTGTATTCGATTCTTCATGTTTAGTATTGTCAACTGCCTCCATATCTGATATTTTTAAAACACAAAAGTACGTTATCTTGAATGAAAATGGCATTTCAACTTATCAATAAACAATCTAAACACATAATTTTTATTCAAACAGCATTAATATCAATGTATTAATATACTGCGGAAAAGAGATAGGTTAGAAGATTCTTTAAAATAAACAAAATACACTGTGCATTAATAAACCTTAAAAAGCATTTATTTACTTCAGACGAATTTCTGTAAATATCTAATGAAGTAATTTTTAACGTTATATTCAAAATATTGAGATTTTGGAGTAATTCAACTTTATATTTAATGGGTACAGGCAATCAGTATAGGGCTTTAGAATCGACCTTCACACTCTTCAGAAATATCGCGTTATTTGACTTACCAGTGTAAGTAGTCATAACTTAGCGACTAGGCCTTCCATATATTTTATCCGTTTGCAAATCAGACGTTAGGAACCTTAGTTAGTAGCTTGGGCAGATTAAATAATTATATCAATTCATAACAGTGAGAATGAAGTCGATAGAATTTGATCATTAATAGATTAACTGAAATAGTTACGGTGGTGGGATCCTGGATGCACACTACTGGGGGTTCTATACTAGGACAAAGTGGCCGTTCACTGCTTTCAGGTTCTCAGTGGTAGTCTGACTTAGATCGGTTCATGATTTCAATGAAACGCAACAGTCTCCACAACTCCATACTGTAAAACAATACTGACCAATGCATTTAGTCTTGGGCTTTTTAAGATCAGCATGAGTTTGAAGGATATGATTCTTGGCATTAAAAAGCACTTAAAAATATTAATGATGGTTAGTGTTATAAATTAATACTAAAACATTTTAAACAGACAACGCGAACGTATATATAGGATTTTATCGGTTATTGCCTATAATAGCGTTATCAATGTTGATGAAAAGTTATCTTTCGTGTAGGGAAATTCTAATAGCTCATTTATTTATGAAATATATGTCAATGACAGTCTGGTAAAATGATACAAGCCTTGCATGTAAACTTATATGCTTTGTGAAAACAGACCCTCTAAAAGAACTGAACGTTGAAACGATCATTCCCTAGTTTTAGAGGTGTTATGACTTAGTCTACAATAATATTGAATGTAGAAGTGAAACAGTAAACTGATATAACTATTTTCAATGAAGTTATGTGCGAACGGCTTTTGATTACTTACACTTAGCTAAATGATGTTTTGAAACCTATTTATTCGAATTAGTAAATTTATGAATACAAATGAATTTTTTCCATCCTACCCTTGCTAATATTCAGGGTTGAAACGATCAACCCCTACTTTAATAACTACTTTGATTCAGTTGTATAAAGCATAAAGTTAGGAGTGATGGGTACCTTATTTGAATCTCAAATGGAGCATTAACGTGGTAGCTAAAATTATATTAAAGCACTAACTTAGGTTGACATTATGAATCACCTGATTCCCCCTCAGTAGACAGATAATGGTGTACTCACTTCAGGCCCCACAGTTTTTAAGCTCAGCAACATTTAAAGTACGGTCGCTCACTACTGAGGAGTTTCAATCTCACAAGAAATACCTGTTCAGCACTCTCCAGTTGTCAAGAACAACTAGCTAGTGTCAGATTTTCAGAAAACGTCTTCAATGAATATCGTTGAAAACACAAGTAGCATATATTAATGAATACAGACTGAACAAAACCACATTTATTAAAATAGGAAATCAATATAAATCAGCTTTTTATTTAGCTTTCTTTTGTACCAACAACTCATCATTAAATATATGTGTAACAAATAAATGTTTGTAAGGTAAGGAAAAAGCTAGTAAATTACCTGAATTTGTTGTACAGGTTCCGACTTGTTTTTTGAAGTGCATTACAGGTTTAACATCCAAAGAAACTTTCGAATCAGACTGACGACAAATAATTCTTTTAGGTGGATTGTAACATCGCAAACTGATAAGTTTGGATGAGACATTTGATTTCATTGTTCTTGGAGAAAATGGTTTAGGACTAGTAAACTTATCCCGGTGGATATCTAAAACATCAGTGCTCAATGACTGCCTTCGATGAGCAGTCTATAAATAAGTTTTTATTTGTTGTAAAGAAAATTAACAATTTCAAACCAATTATCGCTGTAATAAGTTAAACTGTCATACAAATAACAATTATCATTACTAATTAAAATGTCTATATACATTCCGTACCTATAATATCAATTGAATTTTAATGATATGTGTAACAATTCGATGCTAACAATACCATATATTTACTTGCCATTTGATATAGCCTTAAATCAGTAACTGTGGTGGATTCACTGTTTATCCTCCTCCAAAAACAGTGATCAAAAGATGTTCAGAAACTCTCCAATAAAAATGTAAAACCCAGATTCAGTATATGTATCAAACCATATTTAAAGTCTGGGGATAAACGCCGTGGTTAGCTTCACGGAAAAATTGAAGACCCAGATTTAATTTTACACTTCATATACGACATGAGTTTAATTCAGGATAATGAAGATAACTACGGTGAGATATTACTAGGTGTTAACCAAGATTATCTTTCAAAATATGGAACCTAGGGTTACTCATATGATCAAGATATTAAATAATGCATAGTTTAAGGGAGCTTTCATCAATTTTCTGGATAAGGAAATCAGAAAATAACGTCCAAACAAAACACGTGGTTCATAGGAGCAATGTATTTGAAACAAATAGATCAAATCGAAACTCCATAAGATTTGTAAAGAATAAACTCAAATCAACTATATATAATAGTGAGAATATCTTGGCAATATTGACTTTAATTGCAATATTAAAAGTAATGTGATAAGCTTTGCTTTTTCCTTGTGCTTCTAGTTGCCGTCCTGTCTCTCAATTTTCCAACTGATGGTTCTGATTTAAGATATCTTGATAAGTTAAAGAGCAGTCAGACTGCGCAAAAAGTACTCGAATGATCATATCGTTTCGCTTTCTTACTGAACTATTCAAACGAAATTTTAACAATGGTATTTTACTGCTCTTGAAATACTACGCATGATGGTATCTTGATGTAAATGCTTAAAAAATATGTCGTTCGTACTAATCGATAGATTATTTGAACATGATTATTTGTCTCGTCCAAATTTTAAATAAATACGTCCGATTGTTCTTACTGGCCAACACATGACTACTGGAGCGCGGATTGAAAAGATTTTGGAATTACTTGTTAGCGTACTGAATTCTTTTACCTTTGATTTACCACACAAAATCATCTACAAACTGTGACCCTTTAGTTAACACTTAGAAAGATTACCAATATTATCAAAAATATTTACTGCGTACAGTAGGCCTTGACTATCAAGATCATATCTCTGCTGCCTTTCAATCTTATTGATTGGACAGTGACTGTCACAAAGTACCACATAATTTCTACTATGTCCATCAAAAGCATATTTTTGAAACCGAAAGAATTTGAACATGTGTCTACTGAAACATAAATGTCGCAAAAATATTTACGTCTCCACGGAGAAGTATTTTTACGCAATTCCGTACAATACAAACGACAGAAACTACGCATATTAGTTTGCGACCTAGGGGAGTATCTTGCACTTATACAATAATTGGTTTGTAAAAAAATTTGCGTAAGGAGTCAAGAGAGCACACTATAAATATAAGTACGTGTAACCTACACAGGATACATGCACATTTTTGTTATAGATTACCAAAAACATAAGACAAACAAAAATGTTCTTCTTAGCATTGAAAAGAGAATTTATACTAACTTTGGTGCTAAAACAATCTATATCCAGCTTTCGTAAGATTATAGGTTCTCCATCTGAGCAATCACATTTCTCGCATGTATTTTTATTGCCGACAACTTCCGAACGATGCTCACCTAACCCAAGTGGTTCCATAAGTTTATCGTTACTATCAAGGATAAATCTTCTCACAATCCTATCAACTTCAGGATCATCTGAAAATGTATTTATCTAACAATATCTCGCAAGACTGAAAAGTATTACAGTGGTCAGATTACAGAGACTATTTGATTCTGGTCTAGTTGAAAGGGGTCTTCTATCAGCTGCTTTGTATGACTTCAGATAACCCTTGGCTGGAAAGTGAAAAATAAAGTGAACTCACTAGTTGGATTGTGTGAAAATGAATAAGGTGTCGTATTGTCGACATAGGCTTTTGAAAGCTGTACTATAAGTAAAAATTTACCTTTTACGGACTGAATATTTCTATAATGGGCATTCAAATGCTGTTTAATCAGGATCTTTGAAGACACTTTACATTTTCGTGGAAAGATTTCTACGAATTAAAAAGCTAGCAATTCTCAAAAATTCACATACCATGATCATAGGGTTTTAGATTGGTGTTATTACGAGAATTAATTTCGGGATTCGACATGAAGGATTTATATGGAGCGCAAAAACGGTATCTTTCACAAAATCCACAGACGCCGAGCTTGATTGATTTAAACACGCCTAAAACGGTACCACTGAAACATATAAAACAGCTTTCCACCCACTATTCCTGGTTTAAAATACAAAGTTGTTCATTCCTAAGGCGACATTTCTATTATGAACCCCTCACGTTCTGTTCTTGAAATTGTTATACATATCTGTTTATTTTCGAAATACGGTAGGAGTGAATTCTCTTGAGCACACTACATATGTCTCTAAATGGCGCCCTCTCAGGATATTCTATCGCCAATTAACTATTTACTGGTGCCTCAGAAATTGTATGGATACTCGCGAGCACGTTCCGGCTGTTCATCGCGCCAACAGGTTATAAATGCATAGCATTCACATTATGTGATAAGAAAGGTCTAAAGCTTGATATGGAGTTTTATTGACGTAAATTTTTTAAAAGTGTATTACAAGATTAGGAATGTAATACCAACTGTCGGTTAAAACATTCTGTGATAATGAACAAATCTTGTTTACTGAAAAACGGTCAGTGAAGAGAGGACTATTCATTGATATACCCAAATAGCGACCAGCATTGAGGACCTTAAGGCAAGTTTAGAACAACCACCTATCATAGTATTTATGCATTCTGTTTAAGTTGTGTTTACATTATCCCCAGTTAACCAAGACTTTACACAATAATCCCTTAATGACTGGTTCCAGAGTGGAGATAAGTTGTTAGTCTGTAGTGACTCACTTTTATCACGAGAACACGATTGGTTTGTTGAAAACACTTATTATTATAACCAATTGTACCAGTGACTGTTTTAATGTGCTTTTGTTTAGCTGTGCTAAAAAGTATCCATTATTCTTACACTTTGATTGTGACCTCGAGCGAATTCGGTTACGAATTCGGTTACCAAGCTTGTATCCTGGCACGATCTCGGTATTCTTTCGATACCACGAGATCGCCAGCAAATATATCTCGACTTTCTCCATCAACTGCCTTCTGATATTTTGCTTCCGGGTGATTTTATGGATATCCTGGCACGCGTTCCTGGGTAGCGGTGTTCATAGTCAATCTCGACTCGACACCACGCCGCAGTTCTATGAGATTTCTGTGTAAATATATTCATGTTGAGTGATGGTACGGTTTCACCTAATCTTATTGTTGGTTCAAACTAATGTGATTTTAACCTAAACAATTATGGACTTCCTTTAAATCTACTGTGAATTCTGCCGATATTCATCGGTGTCAAAATGTTGTGGTATATCAACATAGAAATTTCAAAAGATGAACCCTGACTTGGAGGTGAAATTCATTTAAGTTTTTGGGACCACAGGAATGTTGTGTGTTGTTTAACTCTCCGTGGTACGAATCTTATACTCAAAATGTTCTATAAGTTCCAACGGTTCAGCTCAATGAAATTAACTAGGTCGGAGATAAATACATCAGTACAACTGGTTGATCTGACTTCATACTATACATTTTTTGTTGCTATAGGAATACAAAGTAATGTTCCTCTTACCGTTGGTTTAAAAATATTTTATATAATTACAGATAGTATATTTACTCATTCCGTGTATATAAGTATGCAATTATCGATCGGTTTTATGTTTGCAGGGGAATATTGTTAAATTATTGTGTACTTGTAATCCCATACTGTTCTTAACATATGGTAATAGATAAAGCGACTGATAAAAGTAATGAATACAATAATTAAGTGTTTTGATTTAAAATGCTGAATGTTATATTTTATGACTGAACATGGGTATTATCTGTTTCCCATTTTACATGTAGAACTTACAAATACTATGCACTTGTCGGAAAATTAGTCTCAAGGTTTGAGTAAGATTTCCAGAAATAAAAGACTATGATTGGATAAAAAATGAGTTATCTAATAAGTAATACATATAATGTGCATTATATATTATAGTCATTTAAAATTTACTGCTATTAGATAGTTCAGTTTGCTGAACTTCTGTTTCAGTTTTCACAGCATTAGTAACAATATCATGTTCGCAACGAAATCGGTGAATTTCAACTTCGGTTTAGAGAGTAACGTATCACTTAGTTTAGCAATGTAATTGCACTTAAGTTGAGATACTAAAGAAACAACATTTTCAAAGAATGTGGCAGAAATGTTATATTCAGTATTACGATAAATTTTGATTAGATTGATTCTGCGTAAGAATACATCGGTACTAATTGTTTGTTTGTAAGATGAACTGTCATTTACTCAGCATCTTATACGTGGCTGAATAGGAGACGACTAGGGGGATATCATATAAGTAAGAATTATTTGAAAGAACTGACTCCAGTGGTAAGTCAAGCGGATGATATTAAAATGCATTAGGGACTTTGACCTGACCTATCAAAAATTATTCAGGCGTCACATAACTTTTTAATCTTCTGACGCTCCGTACGATTAGACCCGGACCAGGTTTACTGACTGAACTTGTTTATTTGATGATGGTTAGCTAGGCATTGGTTGTTGACATCTAACTCTATAGTAAGTAATAAAATCTGGTAAGTGACATGTATTTCTCGTCAAGCCTGCCTTATATTTTCTTAAGGGTAAGAATCCACAAAATTACGGGTGAAGATGAAAATGACTGTATTGTACGTAACATGCGATTAGGTTTAAACCACAAATCAAAGTTCTGGTGAACTATTTCCTGATCTCTTTGGAATGATTGTGGGTCTAGAAGCCCGATAAATAGAACGGAATATGAAGATTCGCTAACAATTTTCCAATACTGAAATATATAACCGAGAAATTGATGAGAAGCACACAATTCTTAGTTGACTTGGGCCGTTTAACGTTCTAGCAAGCTGACTGCCTTGAAACCAAATTTATAAGAAAAGCCGTTTACCATGTCGATGAAAAAGAACAAAGTTCATAGCATAATAATATACTTTTCTGACAAAACAGGTACACATCAGTTTTACGAGTATGACCAACAATTTACAACATGGGATTACGGATAAGATAACAACCAAGTAAAGCTAACTAAGTTGCTTAAAGCTCCAAATGACTATTACCACAGCTTTTATTTATAGCTGTTTTTACTGTTATTATCGAATGCCAACCGCTGGATCTGTACTAGGGAGTCTGAAAATACAAGTAATAAGGCGACTTGGTGATCATAAAATAGATAGCATCAGTCTAAGAAGCATCACATATAAGATAACCTTGTAATTATTGGATAGTTGTTTTCCTTTCAATCATAAACAGCTGGAGACAACCAAGCGTGTGTGGATTGAAATCATCGTCCACACTATCAATTTTTCCTGCTTAGTAAGTCCAAGCACCTCCAGTTTTTGATGTTAGGCTCTTTGAAAGTTGTGGTTATCATGCAGTTATTTCTCACTTCAAAACTCTAAGTTCCACACCCTGTACCATGTACAAGCATATCCAACAGTTTAGCTGTTGAACGGTTGGTAGAAAAAAGCATTGCATGCGATAAGGAAGAAAGTAGTTCAGTCAAGTCGAATAAAATTTGGTTCGTTGTATCGTTCAATGCGATCAGAACAAACACAGGCATTTTGTTATTTTTAGTCACAAAATGCGAGTGAACAAATAAATCTAATGTATCACCTGGGCTGGTTTTCTGGTCCTTTTCTAAGGTGAAGAAGGAATGATACTGGAGTCGTCCATAAGTAGGGATTGGAAACATTATCGTTCAAGAAAAGTCAGACTTGAGGTATCTGTGGTGTTTAATATTGCAGTTTGAAATTCACACGAAATAACACTCAGACTAGTTATGTCACAGCCAGACCTACCAGCTCAATCCTCTTGGTTGACTAGCATGACTGGTTCTATCTAATCACTGTCTTTGTATCTGCCTGTCAGCTTATCTCGTCTCATTATTTAGATGGCCTCGTTTAATAGTGAAGATATTTCATTACATTGTCATTCCTTAATGTCGTAACTCCTACATAGTTGATGGATATTTCAGTCTCGTTACAATTTTCATACTAACCACTAATGACCTAGTCAGGAAATGAACTTCAAAAGAATGCTAATTTACCTCAAGAATGATACTTCTCACTTGAGTCGGGTTCAAGGCAAAACAACCGAATTTGTACTTGAACTAATCGTCTGATCGAACCTATCCAACTCAGAGGCCTAAACTTACAGTCGAACCAGTACATAGGCATGATAGGGGATATTAGTGTATCCTGTCGCTGACAATTATATATTTCAGCAATTAACTACATATAGAATGATTTCCACTTGAGGTAAAACAAAAACGGGCTCACAAAAATTTCGTGCTATCTTCTTTGCGGTTATAAGGGATGATTTGTTGATAAGTTAGAATAAGTAAGCAAGCTTATGTATTTCTGCAACTCAACGCAATATCTCATATTAGTTATCCTACCTAATGTGACATCTTGACATTATTTTTGTTCTCAATGCAACATTCGAGTGAGTATGGTGTTAAATTTGTATTTT